TGCATGTATTTCTTTAATACCTTCCCTCTTGGTTAACTGCATTTTCCCTTATTTGCTTTGTTTTTTACGTACTTATAGCTAATTTTTTTTCCTGATGTCCCAACAGACTTTTAGACATCTAACAGCAATTTTTTCAGATGCTCAAAATATATAATCTGTCAATTCCAGTCCCCCATTCCCATTCCCTTGAGACAGTCCTCCTGCAGCTGTCTGTCCTCCTATATATGCCCTGATTGCTTTCTGGACTAGATACATAGCCGTCATGCTACGGCTTCTTCTCGCCATTCTTCAGTGTTGGCAACTAATTCCTGAGTCCCACGTCATTTTCCTTCATGGTTTATTCCTATATTCCTTCAGTTGGTTTTAGGAATACTACATCCTCTAGTTGCTTCCTAAAAAGGGATACTTGAAAGTTAATATTTTTTATTCCTTACAGGGCTCAAAATGTCATTATTTTACTGTCACCTAAATGTTTGGTTAGGTATAGAATTCTAGGTTAAGAGTAATATTCCTTTAGAATATTAGAGTTATTTTTGCACTGTCTTCTAGTATCTGATATTCAGAATTTAATTCTTTTGTGTGTGACCTGTTTTTTTCTATTTGGAAGCATTTATGATATTTTTATCTTGATGCTCTGAAATTTTTTATTGATGTGCCTAGTTCATTCATTGCTCTGGATTCTTCATTTATTTGACAAATATTTATAGAAAAAATCATTCTATACACACACACACACACACACACACACACACACACATTGTTCTAGGCAGTAGGGATATAGCAGTGAAAAAAATAGACAAAATCCCTTTCCCTCATGGAATTTACATTCTAGTGGTAAAGGCAGAAATTAAGAAATAAACTAGTATATAATGAAATGTCAGATAGTGGTAAGGACTATAAAGAAATACAAAGCAGAATAATGGAACAGAGAATGGAAGGACAATTTTTTACATAGGGTGGGCAGGGAATGCTTCTCTGAAGTGACAGTTATGCAGAGATCCAAATGAAGGAGGACACAAGCCTTGTGACTATGTGGAGGAAGAGTGTTCTAGGTAAAGGGAACAGCAAATACAAAGATTCTGAAGCAGAAATACACATGGAATGATGGAGAAGCAAAAGGCCAGTTGGGTGGCATTGGAGTGAATAAGAAAGCATGGTAGGAAATGAGGAAAAGGGTGGTAGGAAAGTGCATTTGTAGCCAGGGGCCAGGAAATTTAAGGCCTCATAGGACTTGATGAGGACTCTGGAATTTATTCTAATGGAGTCTTTTGAACAAGGACAAACGTACATTTTAAAAGAATCACATTGGTTGGAGGGTGGATCTGAATGGAAATGGACTGTCAAATTTGCAAGAATGTTAAGTGGTGAGACCATTAGGAAGCTATTTCAGTAGTCTAGGTGAAAGATTTAGTGGCTTAGACGTAGTAACTTAGCAATAGTGAGAAATGGTCAGATTTGAAATATATCCTACAGGGAGAACCAACAGGATTTGCTGCTGGGTTGGATATGGGGTGAGAGAAAGAGAGGAGTAAAAGATGAATGTTTGGATTTTTGGCCAGAGCAACTTGGTGAATGGTGGCACCACCTAACTGAGATGAGGGAAGACTGAGGGATTGTTTGGGAGATAGGGTGCAGGGGATTGAGTTGTGTTTTGGACATACTGGGTTTGAGATGCATGTTGACAGCTTATTGGAATTCTCCTTGGTGGCAGGTGGTCATCAACTAGAGGGTTCACAGGAGAGATGGGGCCAGAGATAACTTTGGGAATCCTTCATGTACAGTTGGTATTTAATACCATGGTTCTGGATGAGTTCCCTGGGGGGTGAGTATGGATAAGAGTGCGATCTGAGGATGGAACTCTCGAGCACTCCAATATTTAGAATTGGGAAATGGAAGAGAATCAAAAAAAGAACAGCAGTGAGATAGGTGGAAATCCAGGAGAATTCATATTCTAGAAGCCAGTTGAAAAAAATATTTCATGAGGAGGGCGGGATCCACTGTGTAAAATGTTGTTAAGAGTTTAGTAGGGTAAGGACCTAGAATTGACTATCGGATTTGACCATGTGGAGTTTATTGGTGGCTCTGACAAGCAGTTTCACTGAAGTATGAGGATGATTGGACAGAGGCTCAAGAGGGAATGGGGAGAGCAGAATTAGAGAAAGAAAGTAAAGACAACTATTTTGAGGAGTTTTTCTATAAAGGGGAACAGAAAAATGGGATAATGGCTGAATGGGGATTGGGATGTGGAGTCAAGGAAAGATATTATTGTTTTGTTTTGTTTGTGGTGGGAGATAATAGAACAAGTTTGTCTGATGGGATAATCACTGTAGCATAGGGTTTGGAATTAGGGGGTTGGAAGAGAGGAGAATATGAGAGAGATCTCTGTAAAATAAAATTGGGGGCACCTGGGTGGCACAGTTGGTTAAGCATCCAGCTTTTGATTTCAGCTCAGCTCATGATCTCAGAGTCATGAGATTGAGCCTCACATCGGGCTCCGTGCTCAGCATGGATTCTGCTTAAGACTCTCTCTCTCCCTCTGCCTCTCCCCCTGCTCAGTTCTCTCTTTCAAATAAATAAATCTTAAAAAAGAAAAGAAAAGAAAATTGACTGACGTTTTAGCCCAGAAATGTTTTAGTAATAAGACTTCAGTGTGACGCCAGCCTTTTCAGTTTGTAAACTAGTACCCTTCTGTTCTGAAAAATGTTCTTATATTCTATATTTGATTATCATCCATTCCCAGTCTCCCTGTTCTTTCTGGAATTCCTTTAGTCATGTGTTGGACACTTGGACTGATCCTCTGATTGGGAGAATTTTCTCTCTGATTGTCCATCTCTTCCCTCAGCCTTGTCTTCTAATCCTTCTGTAGAGTTTTTTTTTTTTTTAATTTGAACTATCTTACTATTTTAATTTTCCATAGCATCCTATCCCTTTTAAGTGAGTGCAGTAACTTCTCACTTAAGATCTCAAGGTTTTTATTTGTTCTGTGATTTGTTTTCTTCTGTTCCCTGCATAGTCTCTGTTTCCTCCAAATATTCAGTTATCTGCTTGCTTGTTTTGGTCTCTCTTTGACGTGGGAGGCTTTCTTCAAATGTCTGATGATCCTTGGCTGCCCATTTTTATTTGTGTGGGGCACTAAAAAGCTCCATGTGCAAGAATGGGGCTTGTTACTGGTGGGCTTCATAGTAGGGTGAGCTCAAGGTCAACTGGCTTTTTCATTGTCAGTGTGTAGAGCTCTTCAAGACTGTTGAGTTTTTTCAAAGAATGGGGATGGTAAGGTATATGCCTGAACAGAACAGGAACAGAAAGATGAGGGCTTCATGTTCCTATAGGTGGACTGTTATTCAGTCCCCCTCTTTTCATTTTGTGCATTATCCCTGCCCTGTGCTTGATGCCCCAAGTGCAGAACATCTCCATCTCCGTTTCTCCCGGAGACAACCCTGGTAGAATGCAGTAGTCATCTGGGCTGGGGTAGGGGTGAGGGTAGCTTTTTGTGCTACTTGGTACCTCAAAGAACTGAGACTCTTAGATTATTTAGAGCACATCAGCTCATTGTCATCTGAATCCCTCCACTCCTACTTCATAGTCCACCCCATGTCCCATTAAGTCACTTTCCATTCCTCTAATAGCTTTCCATCACAGAAAGGCTGGGGCTTTTTTTTTTTTTGGTCATCGGAAAAGTCATGTATGCTAATGTAGTCTCTTCTGTTCACTTACTAATGGGTTAGTGCCTTTTTTTCCCTTTATTATAATTTTAGTGGGGAAGCATGAGGAGGGAAAGGGGGTAAACATATGTGGTTAATGTGCCAGGTTTATCCAGAACCCATCTGCCTCTCTGAAGTGTAATCATCGCAATAATGTTTACTGAGTGCTTACTGCATGCCAGACACTGTTGAAGTGCTTTACATTTATTAATTCCATACTCATAACAATCTTATGCAATAGGTACTATTATTATTGCCATTTTACAGATGAAGAAACTAAGGCACAGAAAAGTTAACTTGACAAAGTTACACAGCCAGTAAGTGGGGGACTAGCATTCCAACTCAGCTGTCAGACTCTAGAGATACTTCCTGCTTTTAAAACTCTCCAATAGTATTTCATTCCTTGATTTCAGATTCCAGACAACTTAGCATGCCATTCCCGTTCTTCACGATCAGGCCCAGCGTACCTCTCCAACCTCACCTCTCTCAACTCTGCCCTTAACACCACCTCTTTGACCTTATATTCTAGCCACACTAAGCTTGCTCTGCATGGAGAAGGTTCTAGTGATCCTCATGCCTTTTTCATGCTGTTCCTCTGCCCCAAACATTCCTTCATTCTCTAGAATGATCAGTACAATGTTAGGGTATTCCATTTTATTAAATTGAATATTTGCATAATTTCTTTTATCTAGCAATCAACTCATGCTTTTGTTTTTTTAAGATTTTATTTATTTATTTGACAGAGAAAGACACAGAGAAAGAGGGAACACAAGCAGGGGGAGTAGGAGAGGGAGAAGCAGGCTTCCCGCTGAGCAGGGAGCCGGATGTGGGGCTCGATCCCAGGACCCTGGGATCATGACCTGAGCTGAAGGTAGACGCTTAACGACTGAGCCACACAGGTGCCCCTCAACTCATGCTTTTGATTTGATTTAGCATGTCTTCTTGAAAATGTATAATTGAATAAAATAATAATATTCCATTACTTGTGATGGGTTCATAAGTCTAACAGACTAACTGAAATTATCTCCTTTAAATTTGATTGTATTGAGGGACACCTGGCTGGCTCAGTCAATAGAACATATGACTCTTGATCTCAGGGTCATGAGTTCAGACAGCATGTTGGGCATAGAGATTAGTTTAAAAATAAAGAAATTAATAAAAGTGAAAAAAATTGACTATTGAGAGTGAAATATTCTTTTGGAGTGTAAGTGAAAAGGTATATACTTTAAGTAGTAAATAAGTTCCATTCATTTGTTATTAAAATGTTTTCTAACCTTATCTTGCTCTTTTTCTTAATAGCCTTTTCTTCCTCTTGCAAATTTGGAGTGTTCACCAAACATCGAAACTTTCCTTTGCAAAGCTTTTGTACCAGCCTGCACAGAACAAATTAATGTGGTTCCACCTTGTCGTAACTTTTGTGAGAAAGTATATTCTGATTGCAAAAAATTAATCGACACTTTCGGTATGCGATGGCCTGAGGAACTTGAATGTGACAGGTAAGTTAAGTTTTCAACTGAAAGCTACCAGTGATCTTTTAATGTTGATATTAGTTTTCCAGAATGTTTGTGACAGGCTTTCATTATTTAATTTAACACATGTTTATTGCACACTTAACATATGCCAACCACTGTGGTGAGAGTGTTTTGGACACAATGGTGAGCAAAAACAGATTTACAGTGGGAACTTACAGTGGGGTGGGAGGAACAGATAGTAATCAAATGATTATAATAATAAATGTAAAATTATAACCATGCTAGATACAACAGGGAGAAGTACACAGTTCTCTGAGAAGATGTAAGGGTGCCTTTGACCCACACTGGGGGGAAATGAACTTATTATCAATTCACTGACCTTTTTGCACATTGACCTTGACTCATTACTTTTGTCTCCTATTCTCTAGACACTGGGGGATTGTAATTTGAAATATTCTGCTGATGTAATGAGACTTCACATGATAAAGCTGGGAAGGAAGCTGTGTCTACGTTTTTGTGTCTTTATCTATAGTCTGAAGTGTAGAAGCTTTGTAGAAGTCATATACCTCTGGTGGATAATTGTTTTCAGGAACAGTTGATAATATATGGTAAAGATGAGGATGCTCGTACCTTACCTTCTAGACAATCCCCTTCTATAGAAGCTTTTACACAAATAAGGAATCATGCTAAGAATAATGATTGCCACATTATTCCTAATTATTTAAAAAAGGGAAAAAGTGAAACTCCACTGTAGAAGAATGACTAGTAAACTGTGATGTACTTATACACAAGAATACCATGATACAGTTGATAAAATTAATGTAGTTGATCCACCTCTGTAAACATGGATAAATCTAAAAATTATAGTGTTAAGTTAAAAGAGGATGCTACAGGATAATATATATAGTATGATGTCATTTATATAAAATTTAAAACCTTCGTAAAACAGTATTATATATAACATTATGGTTAGAAAGTCACATAGTAAAATTTTTTTTAAATGCATAAGGAGAATAAAAACTGAACTTGTACTAATGAGTATTTCTGGGGTGAGAGGAAAGAGAATAGGACCAGAAAGGGGTCCCAACTGATCTCTACTGTTATATTGTTTTATTTTAAAAGATATAAAGCAAAACTGACATAATATTAAATTTTAAAAATGCTGGTAGATACATAGTGTTCTTTTTATGGGCATACATTTTAACATTTGCTACTCTTATCTATATCCAAAGCATATTTTAAACGTTTTCTTCTTGGGGTGCCTGGCTGGCTCAGCTAGTGGAGCGTGAGACTCTTTTTTTTTTTTTAAGATTTTATTTATTTATTTGACAGAGAGAGACAGCGAGAGAGGGAACACAAGCAGGGGGGAGTGGGAGAGGGAGAAGCAGGCTTCCCGCTGAGCAGGGAGCCCGATGCGGGGCTCGATGCCAGGACCCTGGGATCACGCCCTGAGCCGAAGGCAGATGCTTAACGACTGAGCCACCCAGGCGCCCCAGAGCATGAGACTCTTGACCTTGGGGTTATGAGTTTGAGTCCCACTTTGGGTGTGTAGAGATTACTTAAAAATAAAATCTTAAAAAAACACAAAAATAAATAAAATGTTTTCTTGTTAGAAACTCCCACTAATTTTTATTTTTTTTAAAGATTTTATTTATTTATTTGAGAGAGAGAGCACAAGTGGGGGGAGGGACAGAGAAAGAGGGAGAGGGACAAGCAGACACACATGAGGAGAGAGCCCAATGTGGGGCTCAATCCCAGGACCCGAAGATCATGACCTGAGCCAAAATCAGACGCTTAACTGACTGAGCCACCCAGGTGCCCCAAAACTCGCACTAATTTTTAAACTATATAGATCCTCCAAATGAATACGGGTGTGTAGAACTCAACTGAGTAATGAAGTGTTTCACAAAACAGAAATACACCTGTGTATATCATTCTGGTCTCCCATAAACAAGGGAGGCAAGGAGTACAGACTTCCAGTTATAAAATAAATATGTCATGGGGACATAATGTACAGCATGGGGAATATAGCCAATAACATTGTATTAATTTTGTGACAGATGGTGATTAGGTTTACTATGGTGACCATTTCTCAATGTATATAAATGTCGAATCACTATGTTGTACACCTAAAACTCATATAATATTGTATGTCAGTTATACCTCAATTAAAAAAACCCAGCCAAACTGAAACAGAATAGTGATGTGAATTAAGCTGGTCCCCAGTCTACCTCTTGGTGATCTTGCCTTTAAGAATGTAGAGATCACGTAAACTCAATCCAACAAGGGGAAGGGTCTCATTTCAGTCAATTTTAACTGTCAAAACCTTAGTCATATGGTTGAGCTACTTTGCTTGTGGGCATTAAAAAACAAGTGAACTTCCCCAAGACTTATATTTCAAATGCTGTAAACAGACAAGCCAACACTTTTTTGTCTGGAGACTACTAATTAAGATACATTCTTTCTTTCTTTTTTTTTAGGATAAATTCTTTCTTATTTAGTCTGGGAAGCAGAAATTATTTAAAAATTATTAATTGGGGCACCTGGCTGGCTCAGTCAGTGGAGCATGCAACTCTTGATCTCAGGGTTGTGAGTTCAAGCCCCACCTAGGGTGTAGAGCTTACTTAAAAAAAAAGTTTACAGGGTGCCTGGGTGGCTCAGTTGGTTAAGCGACTGCCTTCGGCTCAGGTCATGATCCTGGAGTCCCGGGATCGAGTCCCGCATCGGGCTCCCTGCTCGGCAAGGAGCCTGCTTCTCCCTCTAACCCTCCCCCCTCTCATGTACTCTCTCTCTCATTCTCGCTCTCTCAAATAAATAAATAAATCTTTAAAAAAAAAGTTTACAAAATAAAAATTATTAATTGATCATTTTCTGAGTAAGGGAATTTTCATATTCACTTGCCTCGTATTAAATATATGTTAGCGTGTTGGGGCCTCACTAACAACTACAAGTTTTTGGTTAACTTCAAAGCTCTAACCTATAATCTATCCAGGTTGTGTGTCTTCCCATCAACTATGAATGCATAAGGTAATACTTTATAGTTGGAAAGCATAGCATTAAAATAGTGAATCAGTAAAAATGTTGCCTTCAATTTTTATAATCTCTACAGATTGCAATACTGTGATGAGACCGTTCCTGTAACTTTTGATCCACACACACAGTTTCTTGGTCCTCAGAAGAAAACAGAGGAAGTTCAAAGAGACATTGGATTTTGGTGTCCAAGGCATCTTAAGACTTCTGGGGGACAAGGCTATAAGTTTCTGGGAATTGACCAGTGCGCACCTCCATGCCCTAACATGTATTTTAAAAGTGATGAGCTAGAGTTTGCAAAAAGTTTTATTGGGATAGTTTCAATATTTTGTCTCTGTGCAACTCTGTTCACATTCCTTACTTTCTTAATTGATGTTAAAAGATTCAGATACCCAGAGAGACCAATTATATATTACTCTGTCTGCTACAGCATCGTGTCCCTGATGTACTTTATCGGATTCTTGTTAGGCGACCGCACAGCCTGCAACAAGGCAGATGAGAAGCTAGAACTCGGGGACACAGTAGTTCTGGGCTCTCAGAATAAGGCTTGCACTGTTCTGTTTATGTTTTTGTATTTTTTCACAATGGCTGGCACGGTGTGGTGGGTGATTCTTACCATTACGTGGTTCCTAGCGGCAGGAAGAAAATGGAGTTGTGAAGCCATTGAACAAAAAGCGGTATGGTTTCATGCCGTTGCGTGGGGAATACCGGGTTTTCTGACCATTATGCTTCTTGCTATGAACAAAGTTGAAGGAGACAACATTAGTGGCGTTTGCTTCGTCGGCCTTTATGACCTGGATGCTTCCCGCTACTTTGTGCTCCTGCCACTATGCCTTTGTGTGTTTGTCGGACTGTCTCTTCTTTTAGCTGGCATTATTTCCTTAAATCACGTTCGGCAAGTTATCCAGCATGATGGCCGGAACCAAGAGAAACTAAAGAAATTTATGATTCGAATTGGGGTCTTTAGTGGCCTGTATCTTGTGCCACTGGTGACCCTTCTAGGATGTTACGTCTATGAGCAAGTGAACAGGATCACCTGGGAGATAACTTGGGTCTCTGACCACTGTCGTCAGTACCACATCCCATGTCCTTATCAGGTAAAGAGCATTTGTATTAGTTTGCTATCTTTTTTAAAGATTTTATTTATTTACTTATTTATTTATTTGAGAGAGAGAGAGAGAGAGAGAGTGCACAAGCCAGTGGGGATGGGCAGAGGGAGAGGGAGAAGCAGACTCCCTGCTGAGCCGAGAGCCCAACATGGGGCTCGATCCCAAAGCCCTGAGATCACCACCTGAGCCGAAGGCAGACGCTTAACCAACTGAGCCACCCAGGGACCCCTGTATTAGTTCACTGTTTAACATAGAGGATGTTCCCTGGAAGCACACTTGAACTAGTCATGAACATGACATTAGATTTCCCATAAGAAAATCCAGTAGACAGAGGGAAGGATTCCCTGGGCATCAGAAGAAACTGGGGTCAGGGCGCCTGGGTGGCTCAGACTATATAGACTTCTTTCCACTGAAAATGTATCACTGAAATTTTTATTACTCACTTTTCTTTGTAGGCAAAAACAGAAACCCGACCAGAACTGGCTTTATTTATGATAAAATATCTGATGACATTAATTGTTGGCATCTCTGCCGTCTTCTGGGTTGGAAGCAAAAAGACATGCACGGAATGGGCTGGGTTTTTTAAACGAAATCGTAAGAGAGAGTAAGCAGCTATTGAATTATCTGATGTTGTTTTAAATTAAATAGAACAAATACCAAGGAACCGTTCAAGTCATTATTGTACTTTCGTATGTCAACTGTTATGTCAAATTTGGAAATCTTTTTCCTGGAGAAATATACTTTATTTTGTTTGGCATTCATTAAAATAGTCTTCAACCTATACTATTCTATTGAAATATGAATGAAAGTTTTATAAAGTATTTATTTTCTTGACACAGCTTATATTTAATATTATCACTGCTATCGCTGGATTCATTATTTTGGGTGCAGCATTTTAAATTTTAATTATTTTATCAGTGATAAAAGATTAAATGAGATCAAATATATATAAGGAAATCTATAGAGTATGATTCACAGATACTGTATGATCATTGTTTCCTACCTTTAAATTTTATTACACATAGTGCTGGCTTAAAATGTCACTTATTTGCCTTGCTTAAGATGGTAAAATTTTAAACTTATGTAGTATTTTATAACAATATAGTAGATTTAGAAGTAAATAGTTCATTTTGGTTATTTATGTACATTGTACGCTCTATACAATCAACAGTGTAGTATAGGTTTTTAAACTGTTTCCCATTGGTTTGATTAATAAACTTTCTTGTGGTAAAAATTCCAGAACTATAGATCTTTTCTAAGTTTTTGAAGTCTGAAGAATTACATTTTTTTTTTAAGATTTATTTATTTGACAGCACACAAGCAGGGGGAGAGGTGGAGGGAGAAGCAGTCTCCCCGCTGAGCAGGGAGCCTGATTGAAGAATTGCATTTAACTGGACTTTAATTTTTTTGCACTATTATTACATATCTGTCCCGTGTTTGTATACTCACACTTCAGTATAACTTGCAAACTTTAATGTTAGAAAGCAAACAAACTTAACAACAACCATTCTACGTCCTTTCTCTTCTGGTTTACTTTTATACTTGATGTATTTACGTGTGATACACAGATCGTCCCCTACTTTATGCTGCTTTGCGTTTCCTTGCCCTCATCCTTGGTTTAGCTTCTTTAATTTCTTACCAATCTACTTATGCTGTTAAAGGCAACTAACAGTGTATGCAAAAAAGACTTCACTTCATGACAATCTACTTATAGCTCGTAATACTTAGAATCCCAGATTTCATAACCATAAGTCATTTAGAATTTTTGACTTGTTTGACTCAGGATTTTTGGCATAAGAGATGTATCCTTTTTGGCTTCTCGATAGCACTTAACATTTACCAAGTAAGCCCTGTGCTTGGTTTCTCTTGCAGTCCAATCAGTGAAAGCCGCAGAGTTCTACAGGAGTCATGTGAGTTCTTCTTAAAGCACAACTCTAAAGTTAAACACAAAAAGAAGCACTGCAAACCCAGTTCGCACAAGCTGAAGGTCATTTCCAAATCCATGGGAACCAGCACAGGCGCTACAGGCAATCACGGCACCTCCTCGGTGGCAATCACTAACCACGATTACTTAGGACAAGAAGCTTCGACAGAAATACCGACCTCCCCAGAGACGTCCGTGAGAGAGGTGAGAGCGGATGGAGCGAGCACCCCCAGATCCAGAGAAGAGGGCTGTGGGGAGCCGGCCTCCCCAGCAGCATCCGGCTCCAAACTCTGTGGGGAACAGGCCGACAGGAAAGGCCGGGCAGGCAATGGGAACGATAAGATCAGCGTGTCTGAAAGTCTGCGGAGTGAGGGAAGGTGAGCTTGGATTTTGTTATCTTCAATCGGGACTACTTTGAATACTGCATTATCCATTTTTTATTAAAGCATAGCACATCGGGAAAGAAAATGTTCTAGGAGAGGACATGTCCATACACTTCATCCAAGGAAGTTTGGCTTTAAGAAGTTTGAGTTCAGCCTATAAGTGTGCTATTCGGTAGTTTGATTCTTAGCTTGGAAAAGAGCCTTCGTGAATGTTGTTCAAGTAGGAAAGTGATGTTCATTTTTATGGCAGTTGTTAAGTGTTGCATGTATATTTGGGTAAATGTTTAAGATCCTTCTGAAATACAGGCTATTAAGTTGTAAGTAGCACTGTATCATAGTACTAAAAGGCAGTTGTATTTCATATGAAGATGATTATAAAATTATTATTTATTTATTTATATTTTATTCATTATTTATTTTCTGAACATGAAAGGATATTGACATTATCTTTAAGGGAATTTTCCCAAATGGTCATAGGTGATCCAAACACAGGTAAACATCCAATTAGCCAGAATGCCAACAGCTAAGTACTTTTAGGTCTCAAGGTTGTCTCACTTCCCTCCTCCCAGACTAAACCACATGCACCTTCTTTGTGTTCCCATAACAGCTTTTGCAGACTGGATTCTAAGTAGATACGTGCTCTGATAAAGGTGGATGCTGGTTGGGAGTAAAACTCATGAGAAGTGGATGGCAGTTGTAAGGACATTTGGCCTCACATGTGTGCTTTGGTCTGTAGTATGTCACCTTTCGTCTTTTTACCTAGGGTAACTCCAAAAAGTGATGTCACTGAAGCCGGCCCAGGGCAGAGCTACAGCTTGCAGGCCCCAGGTTCCTCAGAGCCGGGCAGCCTGAGAGGCTCCACGTCACTGCTCGTTCACTCGGCTTCCGGGGGTAGAAAAGAGCAGGGCCCCGGCAGTCACTCCGATACGTGAGGGACGGGTTCGCCCCCTGCTGAGAAGTGGATTCGTGCTACACTGGAGCGGACAGCGCGCTGTCTCGTCAGCATCACTGTTCTGTTCTTTTGCACCGACAGCTACATTGCGGGCTGTTACACTGGAAACAGTAGATTCCAAGAATAAAAGGATTCATTTCGCACAGAGGTTAACGATGACCGTATACCCAGAAAGCAGAAATGTTCAGGTTAATAATATTTTTTTAAGTTGTGCGGGAGGAGGGAGTGAGAGGAATCTTCCTTTTCTATTTATGAAGATTCTACTCTTGTTAAAAGTATTTTAAGATGTACTATATGCTATTTCACTTTTATGGTATAAAATCAAGATATTTCTTTGCTTAAGTATTTAAAACTTATCTTTGTATCTTTTTTATATATTTGAAAATAAGTTTATATGTATTTGAACTTTTTTAGGAATCCTGGAAAAGCTATCCCAACTATTTTTGTTATGTTATTCTGAGATTTTAGCACTACTTTGGTAGCTTTGACACTGAGTTTCTAAGAAAATTGAAAAATAGTATTCTTTTATAGTATAAAAAATATTTGACACACCAGAAGGTGTTGTAATGGGAATTCAGCTTTAAAAATCCACTTATTCCACTTTATCATCTTCCCTGTGTGAATTTTATAAAGTCTTATTGTTTTAGGAATTTCATACATCTGTTATGCCACTAAAATAAGGTGCTTGATGTCTAATGTTGATTGTATTATGCTGCTCACTGATCCTTCTACACTTTTAAATAATATGTCCTGAAGGATTAGATGAAATCTACTCTTTTAGAAATTAAGCCAAGGGCAATTGATTTCCTTTTTTAAAAAAATATGACCACTCAAGATTGTATTTTTATGACCATTTATAGTTGCTTATATTTTTAACTTTTGTTTTTTAACATTTAGAGTTCTAAAGTTTGTACAGTATCTTTGTCAGACATTATGTAGAATTCATTTCTGTACTTAAATAGGATTTTGCTGAACATTTAAAAGTGTGTTAAAAAATGTGTTAGCATTAGTGCCAATCAAATGGGAAAAAATTTGTCTTGATAAAATGTATTTTATATAACGTACTTTAAAATATTAAAGAATTTTCTTAATTTTATTTCCAACTAAGCGTTATACCTTGAACAATGTCTTCTGATGCTTTTGGTTTTTTCCTCTATTTAGCATTCTATTAGGCATAAAAAAAGATTATCATGTACTGTATGGAAAATGTAAATATTAACTTTTCCACATTTTTGAACTTTGTATACCAAAACATTGTGTGATCTCTCCAGTAATAAAATTTTCTCTGTGTAAGAGATTGTGGAGTATTCTATGCTTATTCTTAGTGGTCCTAACCCAGGAAGTGGTAGAATTTTTCAGATCAGTGGCTCCATGACTAATAAGCCAGAAGTTTGTTTGTTTTAAAGATTTTATTTATCTGACAGAGAGACAACGAGAGGGAACACAAGCAGGGGGAGTGGGAGAGGGGGAAGCAGTGACTTTATTAACGTCTCCTAGTCACTCTAATAATTTTATAGTTGGTTTTTCCTGGATTTTCAATGTAGATGATCTTTTCATGTCAAATAATGGTAATTTTATTTCTCAGCTATTAGCCTGAACTGGGAACCTATCACTGTTAATAAATAGCGGTGTCAGCGGGCGTCCTGGTCTCGTTTATTTGAATGAGAATGTCTCTAGTATTTCATCATTAAAAACAACATTGGCATTTGATAGATCTTTTTTCACTAGTTAATCACGAATCCTATTCTGACAATTTTTTTCAAATTAGCAGTAGGTGCCGAATTTTATTGAATGCCTTGTTGCTGTATTAATCAAGGTAGGCTAACTGCTGTAACAATCCTCAAGATGTTAGCAGCTGAAGGAACAGGTGCAAATATTCTTGAGGTAGCCTTCCAACTGATTCTTCAAGGACCCACCACTTCGAGCTTCTGATGCAGCCATCCACAGCCATCCCTTAGAGCTGCAGATTCTTTGCGGGATTCTCTGCACCCAGCCAGTAGGTGGAGGAAGAGAGAGTAACCGATTGCACAGGAAGATTGTTATGGGTCCGAGGGGGAAGTGGCACACATTATTTCCAGCTACATTCCACTTGCCAGAACCCAGGCACAGAATCACACCTAACTGCAAGGCAGGCTGGGAAATATAGTCTAGGTGTGTGCCCGGGGTGGGAGGAACCACCTTACTCAGTCATTGGCCAGCAGTGTTGCAATCTACAAATCTCATGTTGTAAAATAAATTTCCCAGTATAATGCCATTCTTTCCTTCTTTGAATAATTCAAAGTCATGGTGTATCATTTAATATCCTGCTGGATTTGATTTGTTAGCAGTTTATTTAAGATAAAAATGTACATCCATACCTACCTGTATTCTAAGTGATTCCTCAACCAGGAACATAGCATTTGTAATCAGTAAGCTTAAATTTTTAAAAATATTCTATTTCTAATAGCAGACGTCAAGACTATCAACTAATTCAAAAGAAAACAGCAGTTTCTCTTTTTCATGAGACCAGAGTCTGTGATGCAAGAGCCAACTGTTTCAGAAGTGGTGACTTTAATTTTTATAAGAATTACAGAGCATTTTTTGACCAAGAAAGTGGACCTAAATTACAGACTTACATTTACAATAACAATATTGGCATGAGCATTGTGCAGCTCAACTCCATAGCAGAAAAAATATGATAAAGCAGCATTTCACCTTGAAAATCAGCCACAAATCCTCAACCGAATTTTATGGAATGCCATCTTTCAAAAAGTACATCCATTAGGATCCATCTGCTAGGCTATTTATGGTAGTGAAGGAATCTTTCCTAGACTTACATCGAAGAACTAGACCAAAAACAGCTTGTAATTACCACCGATCATCAAAATCACCGCTTTAGTGCTTCCTTACTTCTCAGAAATACGCCACTAGTGGGCTTTTCCAGTTACTACTGCTGCAAAGTTTTAACGTTGCCAAGGCAAGCCCCGGTACTCTCAAGAAAGATATATTTTTTAATAATCAACAAGAAGCCTTGCTATAACTCTTCTGCATGGAAAGTGTAATCTTTAATACCTCACTGCCCACAGCGCAAGTCCAAGACTGAAAGTTCCAGACGCTGAAGGTTTTTAACAGTGGCCACTGTGATCTGTACGTGCAGAAGAATCAAACTTTCATTAACTCCTTTGCACCAACAGAGCAGACAAGAAAAGATTAAAAGCCTAATCCAAACTTCTCCAAATGCATTGGCACCCAGAGCTGAACGGTAGGAGCAAACAGCGTAGGAAAGTCTGTGGTGGACACTGCTGGGGGAGGGGAAGCAAAAGGAAGGACTAGAAGTGGTAAACACTAGTTAGAAATGAAAATAAATGAAAGAAATGACGCTAAAATGAATTTCACCAGCCAAATCCAAGGCTTTTATTTTCCATCCCTAGAAGGAAAAAGGAGAAAACCAGAAAAAACTTCTAAGGATATCCACCACAAAAGGAGGGGTGGGTGAGAGAGAGGGAGGGAGAGAGAGAGAGAGAGAGAGAGAGAATCTATTAAGTTTCAACAGAAACATCTTAAAGTTTTTCAAATAAACCATTTTCTCCAAACTCATGCCATTTATTTACATTATTATTATTACAAATATTTCCTACTTGGCTTGTATACGGAGTTTTGACATAAGTGCAAAGAGTCTGTTAAACTCGATGTTTAATAGTCTACATATTATTATGTATATTTCAGAAAATGGTGAGAGAAGCACAAAAATCAAGAAAGATTTAAGTTTTTCCTAACCGCGGAAGAAAATAAAATACCTTCGCATTTTCTCCACCTTATTTCCCAAGGTGCTAACTAAAGTAAAACTGGCAAGTTCGTGGGTTTATTTTCTTGGGGGCCTATTCTAGGATCTAATTAGTTTCACTGTCAGAAAGTATATAAGGCTGAATACATAGATTTTAGACTTTATCTGGAGAAATTCACCAGTAAAGTATAAATAAGCTCCTGTAGCGGTTTTCATCCTTTCAAATGGCCCATCCAGTGGCCCCCATGTAAACTTTCATGAAACCGAAACCTCCAGAGCCGGTAAACAAAGTTGACCACCGGCAAAAATCTTTGCTGGCACTTGCCGCCACCTCTCTCCGGGCAGGCTCCAAGGGAAGGAGAATGGCACGCTGTGTTTCTAGAGCTGACCTGGTTGGCAGGCGGTGGGCAAAGAAAAAGTACAGTAGAACAAAACAGGAGGACTGTGTTTCGTCGACTGACAGTCATCACTGCCTCTTTGTCCCTGGTGCTCAGACTCTGGCCAGGGCTTTCCAGGCCTGTCCTGCAGACACAGAGAGGCTCCACCGCTTTCTTGATGAAGCAAAGACCAGGAAAGGGTCAAACACATCCGAAACGGGGGGGAGGGAGCCTCAGGGACCTGAAAGGCAGGGCAGGGTCTGGCCACCCTGGACACTCGGGAGAGATCTAAACAATATAAAATCCTGTCGTCTCTACTCACCAAGTGTCCAGAGCGATGGAGAATGGATCCACGTGTGAAAGAGGAGAGAACACCTAAAGAATTAGCAGTTAAGGGGAGTGAAATCTAAAGCCACGGATGAAGAGTTCCAAGGCATTGCAATGCACCAAAAAGCAAGTCGCAAAACTATATTTACAGAATAATACCGTGTATGTAAACCCTACCCCATAGAACAGTACTGTTTTCTCTTGTTACATATACATGTATCTAAATGCATAATGATACCATGCATGTAAGCAATTCCTCATCACACAGAATAACCCTGTATATGTTATATAGATACATAAATGTAAATGCACGAGAAGACTCCAGAAAATGTGATAACATGTGTGATCTCTGGGGAGGAGATCAGCTTTGTAGGTGATAATCAAAACAGACTTGAACCCAGTGTGTAATGTTCAAATTTTTATAGAGAATCTGTTAATATATCATGTGGTGTAATTACAAATTAATTCTTTTTAAGAAAATTTACTGAGCCCAGATCTAGCTGATGCTGCTGC